CGTGCGCTTATGTTGCGTAAGCGCAACTTAGAGAGGAGGGTGATGTAATGGGCCCAACTCCAATTACATAAGTAGGTAGACATTTCTTTAGTTATTACATAAGTAGGTAAAGTGGCACACGGGTAGCGTGTGCCAAGGTGTCATCATCTGATTGGTTGATAGTGAGGAGCCAGACTCACTTATTGACCAATCAGATATAGACATGTGTTTGAGTGGTTCACACGAGGCCAGGGGTAGCCGCCCTGGTCCTAAATAAATGAGAGTTGAATTTGAAACAAACCTAAGACTTGGTTTTATTATTGCGAGCTTCCTCCGCATTACAGTGTAAGCTAGTAACGGTATCTCTTACCCCGTTACAGCTGCGCTGTTGTTTGGGTGTCGCAGCTGGATGCACAGAGCTTGAACTTCAGCGATGATATCCTCATATTCGGTTAGATACTCGCAAACCGCCAGATTGAAGCGGTGGCTTGCACAGCCGATCAGGGGAACCTTGAGCCGAGTAGCGATAGCCTTGTTCGTCGGGCAGTTATCGCCGACGACAAAGCGCAGCATCTCTCGGTTCTTTTCGTAGACACCAAGAACGTTGTCGATCATTTCGATGTGAGCATCAGCAGACTGCCCATCCAGAGCCATCGAAATAGACAGCAGCGGCTGTCTCCGCACGCCGTCGCGAACACTAACGCCGAATATGCCAACAAAGTGGACTGTTCCGCAGGTCCATCCGTCGAACATCAAACCGAAGCTGTCCCCAAGAAACCCAGCGACGGTAGCACCCACTTGCGAGGTCACGTGACGCATGTGGCGAAGAAGCGTCTGGGATGACACGGGCTTAATCCCAGCTAGTCCCCGCGTCAGCGTGTCGTCCACCTCCGATAACGGAAGGTGTCGCATGATCACCCACTCCATCCACTTGAATATCTCAATCGTCCTGGTGTCAATGAAGCTGTGGTCCTGAAGCGTTTGGCCCTGTTGAGTAGCCTCAAAGACGGCGAGGTGGTCTAGGTGCTTCGTCGCAAGATGACTGAGCAGGTTTGAGTAGCCGGATCCAGGAGCTTGTTTGCGACTCGTATTGCACTGCTTGCACGTGAAGACGCCGTTGCCGCAATCCGTAAAGTAGAAGTTGCACACGCTGCGAGAAGTCGACATGGGCCCGAGAGGTTGGAATGAAGAATGAGAGTAAGTCTGTCCGCTAGCAGACGACTAACTAGAACCTCCCAGAACCACCAGCGGCGAGGCACCTTCCCTGGTAAAAAATCAATACAGTAATTACGGGGACAATTTTATATATTACGGACTTTTACGAAAGCCAATAATAAATAATTAAATAAATACAAAGCTATAATAATTGTATTATATTTATTTTTCCAGAGCACTGTTTCTGACACCCTGTCATTTTCAGGGAGGTGAGATGCTCCTACAGTATTGATGATTACATACAGTCTTCACTGAGCTCATCTACAATTTTGGATGTAGGTGGCAGTAATAATAAAGTCCCTTCTTTAATTAATAACTAGAGCTCATGATGGTAAATGTGAGAACGGAGTTTTAAGAAGAAGCCCTTTATATTTATTTTTAAGTCCTCAAGTGTCCTACGCACTACTATTATTATCGTCAAGCTTTTCGACCGTCGGTGGCGAAACTTCTCTATTGAGCGACACCCACTTCCTTTCATTGCTTGCACAACCACTCGGGTGACATGGTGAATAAACGCACTAAGAACAGGCGGCGCGCCTCCATGATGTCCCACAACCTTCAAAATACTGCCAACCCACTTCGACGTCATAGTGAAGCATCGACTACTAAAGCGAGTGAAGTTAGCTCAGCCGAGCTTGTTGTCGAGAACTCCCAACTTTTGCCAGCCCGCCAGAGATTGGCAAACGATAGAGATGTTTTAGCAATGGAAGAAGGCGAACTCAAGCATGGCAAAAAAGCACTGATAATGATGTCACCGCGTCTGGATGCACAGCTCGGTGGCTACCCACCAGATTGTGGCACCAAAGAGCTCAAGTATCTGTCATATGCCAAGCTACTTCGTGATCGTGGACTGACTCATCCGATGCGATACTCAAACACTCGAGTGGATGCGCTGGGTTTTGCCATGCCGGAGCGATTTCCGTTATTTTCCACAGACTTTGGCGCTCATTCCTTCCACCACCTACCTACAGACTCGGTTGTTTTGAGCCCGTATGGTCTTGGAATCGCCCTTTACTTCAAGTATCTTAAGGTTATTACGTGGCTCTTCTTCTTGCTCATGGTGCTTAGCGCTCCAACCCTTGCGGTCTATATCATGGGCGGTGGAACTTCAATGGCCGAGCTTACTGCTCTGGCGCGTCAGGACCTTCCTTCTGTTTTGGGTATCACCAGTATTGGTCATCTTAGCGAGGCCAGCAGTGTGTGTGACCAAGCTCTGGAAAACACTGAGCTGTCACTCACTTGTTCTAAAGGTGAAATTGGTTTTGTGAAAGCAGTTTATTCAACGTTCGATTCGCAAGGAAGTTGCTCGTGTCCGCAACGTAACAAAGTTGCAGAGAGCTCCGGTGAATGCCGTGGTGACGCT